AGAAGTATTATTCGAAGTCGCGCATCGCTACCGCGGAGTACAAAAGTCGGCGTCTGCGCAGGCCGTAAACATTAGTTATTCGTATGCTATTAGTAAGAAACATAGGTTACAAACTATGAGCCTTAAAGTTATAGAAACATCATACACGCTTCTAATTCGCCAATACGAAAGTCAGGTAATTGCCCAACTTGCATTCAGTCGAGTACGCTTTCTCGCCGCGGCTACACTTTGCTACAACGTTTAAATATTTTACGTTTTTCCAGACAAAAAGCCCTATGTGTTTTTAGATATTTACACAAAATACACGAAGATAAGAAAAACGTGTCGTTTCATTCGTAAGAACAGTTTCAAATAAATTATTGTAATAATATTCAGTGATTACTTATTTTGACAGTTGCTGATACCGTGGACACGTGAGGCTAAAGAGCGAGATGTAATCTGCTTTAAGCTGGGTCCACACGGCAGCGACTTTAATCGATAACGACTCGCTGGCGACGTCAAAATCAATGTCTTGACGTGAATATAAGCAGCGATTTATTGTCGCTGTAAATCTGAAAAGTCGAATTCGCATGGTAGTCGCCAGTGACATCGTTGCTGTGTAGACGTGGCTGGATTTTGAAATTTAGCGGAACTACATTAATATTCTCGGTCTTTTGTGACTGAATTTATAGAATTATATCGGGATTGATCTTAATTATGGATGGTTAACAGTAAATGTTACTGTAATAACGATTTAAAGTCACAAAGTTGTGATTTTGTCGCACTAATTTTATTTAATCTTTTTTATTGCCTCTTCTCTTTTATGTAAACGACTTCTAGTAACATATTTGTTTCTTAGGTTTTCACGCACATCACTCATTAAATAAAACTAGTTTTTACGGGTTAATGAACGAAACTTTGTTTATTTATTGAAGTTTCGCAGCTTTTTCAGACGAAGCCTTTTCTGACGAAGCAGCCTGAAAGGGCTGTGAAACGTCAATAAATAAATAAAGTTTCGTGCATTAACCCGTAAAAACTAGTTTTATTTGACTTTAACATTCGGAGCACAAGCAAAACAATAACGGTAGCTACTAGTATGTACACGTCTGCTGCGAAATGAATACTAAAAAATCGCTACAATGTAGACCCATAAGTTATAAATCGCTAGCGAGTCACTGTCGATTAAAGTCGCTACGTGGAGACCTAGCTTTATGAATGAGAGTTAACTAGACTACTTTAGTGCACTCTATTGGCGGCTGTTGCCAAGGAAAGTTTTGGCGGCGACTACTTGTGCCATTTCAAAATGCAATAATGTTGGCGTATAACTTGTCTATTACGTCATTGGTTACAAATATCTTAGAAACTTTTTGATAAGTGTCGCTAAAATAAAATAAAAATAATCAGTAATATGTATTATTATTTATCATAGTAGGTATTATACACGAAACTTGAACAAAAAATAAGCAACACAAACACTTGGTTCAATGGACTCGGTTGAGTTTGACCGATTTTTTTACAATCTCTTTTTGTCTGCATTCACGGTCACCCTTGAATGATATAACACGGCACGGCCACTAGACATTGTGCAGAATTCACGTCCTTTTGTGTTTGTAACAATATATATTTTTTATTAACTATCATTTCATAGTCATACACGAAGGTTGTAGAAGAATAATAGATTAGGAGACACGTGTACCAGCATTTTTTAAATAAAATAAGCCTTAATCGTGTCTAACATATCGGTCCATTTTTATCCCCCACTCCGCCTAATGTTAAGTGTGTGATTTTTTGACTTTGCTGCCGTTATTTAAGCTCTTTCCGATAGACTGGTAGAGAATGCCATATTGGCATTAAGTCCGCCATTTGAAGTGTAAAGGTTTTTTTTTAAATAAATATGTGGAGTCTAGTCGCGAAGATAGATGATGCGACAGGTGTGCCGCTTCAGCCAGCCTCACCTTGCTGGTCTCGGCCAAATCTCCTACTCTGCTAAGTCCTGGAACCTTACTCACCGACAGAAAAACAACACCACCAAAAGGTATTTTTTTAGTGAGGTCTTCTGTAAAGTCACAAATCTGCACGACATAGGGGGATGTTTCAGGTTCAATGCAGCAAGGATTTGGAACGACCTACCTCCACCCTTCGTTGTAAAGTGAATCCATCAAAATTAAAAATATACTACAAAGCAGCGTTTTTTTCATAAAAAACTTGTTGCGGAAAATCTGAAGCATCCTTTTTTTTCTAAATGGCTTCGCACGGCTTGTGCATTTAGCCAATGTCAAGTGTTAAAATGTTTACAAATTCTATAGCACTCGTGGTCAAAGTAATAAATCAAGTCAAAGTAAGTGGCAGTCAAGTCAATCCCCTTTTCCTTGTTTCAGTAAATGTGTGGGGATTTACTGGAACCTCCCTGTGAACTTCTTGAGGGAACGTCGAAAGACACTTTCCGCTATTTTGTTTCATTTGCCAACACTTGTACATGTTCCTGAACACTTAGTGGTTAATAATTAATGCTTAATCTCGATTCAACTAAATCTAGCATTAACCCATAGAAAAATGTTAAATTGACATTATTGTATGGACTAAATCTGGTATTACTTAAATTGAGATTTAGCAGAATTACAGCAAGTGGATCTTAAAGGCATTTCATTCATTTATTCATTCATCATCAGCCTATTAATGTCGATTGGTGGGTGGTAACGACTGCAGATGCAGCCGGGACCAAAGGCTTAACGTGCCTTCCGAAGCGCAGAGGAGCTCGAAATAGATAATTTTTGGTTACCCATCCAATTACCGACCACTGCAAAGTTGTTTAACTTCAACGATCGGAGCCGAACGCCCAAAAAACTTGCGCCATCGGTCTCCTCAGATATTATTATATTAAAGGCTTTAGCATTATGAAATCATATTACTTAAGACCTTTTGTAGTAATGGTTCCGAAGTTATTTTACAGTGAACATTTCTGCTACAGATATTTCCATTATCTTTTCATGATTTTAATCTGCGATGCATTTAAACCTTGAATTAATAAACAGATAAGTTTTATTTAAACGATAACACTTTTTATGGTTCTCACGAGAGTTATAAATTGAATAATTAATTAATTATGAATTAGCAACAGCCGATTTTTTTACTATCGTAAATTAATACATAGTGCGGTAAAATAGAATGTTAATTTGTAACCGATTTAATTATTTGGATGCTATTCGATTTGGTATTATTGTGAAATAGATTTTATTTCGTAATATTTTATTAAAACATTGTTAATTGCTTTTCCCAAACACCTATCGTCAATATTAGACGAGTTTACAAAAATATACACTGTAGTATAGAGTCTGTGCGGAAAGAGAATGGGATTTAGATTTGAGGGCGCAGTAGTGCTTTTCTACCGTATTTGTAAGGTTTTACCCCTTTCAGACATGATTAAATATAAAAACCGCAAGAAATCACAACGATAAAAAAATCCGTATCAATACAAAACTCGGACGTTTTACAGAGGGCTGAGTTGGATTGCCATATAAAAATCCTAATGTTAGTTCCGTTTTTAGCCACGCCCATTCTCTTTCCGCACAGACTCTATAAGAATACTAGAGGACGCCCGCGAGTCCGTCTGCGGGGAAATATTAGTTTCCTATACGAACTCTGAACCCCCTTTTTCCTCTTTAGGGGGTGAGTTTTGAAAAATCCTTTCTAAGTGCAAGCCTACATAAATATTTGTGCAAAATTTCAGCGCAATCCATCTAATGGTTTGATCTGTGCGTTTATTTCAGGAACTAGGTTCGTATAACAAAACGAGTGTGCTTATGACCACACGACTGAAGTGAAACTTTTTTACCTCCATCTGTATGTATGTATATATATATTGTACACACACACACACACATATATATATATATATATATATATATATATGTGTGTGTGTACAATATATACATGTATGTACATATACATATTTCATTTACTAGCTATAAGAGAAAGATAGAAAGAAAATGTTGTCGCGCGCACTGCTTTCTCTTGCTTATATCCCCCACTCAACTTCCGTTCGCCTCGCCCAATCACACTTTTCGTAACGCGTTCGCCAGCTTACTCTCCAAGTCAAGGGTGCGTAAAGAAGTTCACTTCAAAAAAATATTTTTGTCTACTATACTTCATTTATCGAGGAAGCTTAGCTATACAAAATCATCTACTCATACGCTACGACCAATAGGAGCAGAGTATCGTCATCATCAGCCTATTAATGTCCCCACTGCTAGAGCACAGGTCTTCCTTATGGATGGAATACGGCGATTGGGCCATGACCTACCGCGCGGGCCCAGTGCGGGTGCTGACGACTGCAAAAGCAGCCGGGACCAACGGCTTAACGTGCCTTCCGAAGCACGGAGGAACTCGAGATAGAAGATTTTTGGTCGCCCATCCAATGACCGACTACTGCGAAAGTTGCTTAACTTCAAACGATCGCAGCCGAACGCGGTAACCACCTGCGCCGTAGAGCCCTCCGTCTGTCCAATAGTTTGATCTGTGCACTTATTTCAAAAACTATAACTATACGTATAAGTATCATCTAATTTTATTTTTGAAAATTAAAGACTACCAATAATAACTTGTAAGGTTGTTTTTGCCTGACATAAAAATAATGAAAGAAACGCGATAATCTTTTTTGGACTAATAAATGACAATGAAACATTAATTACAGTATCCTCGGACCACGAATATACACGTGATATATTACTACACTCCCCCTCACCCTTGTGAGATTTCGTGATTTTTTATGGACCCCTTTCCCCCCTTTCGAACCTCACGTGATTAATGCACAGCCCCTAAGACAGCGGAGGCTCTATAAATCCTTCTTCCATTGATTTTGCAAATCTGATGTCTATCTAGCGTAGCAAGATACTTCGTCCAAGCTATAATGCTAAGAGCATAATTTAATTTATTTTCTAGTCTGTAATCGTTGTGGTCTGTATGTGATCTATGATATTTTCTGTCACAATTCAATAGTCTTGTCATGACTGTATGCATGCATTAATGCATATGCATGCATAAAGTTTTAGATTATTTTATTTTTAATTTATAAATAATTATACAATGTCGTCTGACGACGCCTCTTGTTCTGATTGTAAACTCGAGCTGATTGAAAGGAAATGGACACAGCTGTTGTTGAATTGGGTTCGTTGTTTCATCTATCTGTACTATAACTTTTTTCAATTTTAAACGCCGTAGCAGACATGTCAACTCGGACAGGAATCGTCACCGTATCAACTCGAGCCGAAAAGGCGAAAGTTTGTGAGTTTGTGAGTGTGTATGTTTGGTACGTGAAGAACACGTATGAACGGCTAGAGTGATTTTAATAAAATTTTGTATGGAGTTAGCTAAAACTGGATTAACACATAGTCTACGTTTTACTGCGGGAAAATATCCCTAATAAACCGTGGGTAACACCGCAGGGCACAGCTAGAATTTTATGATTCCAGTAATATTGTCCTCTGTGTACAAATGTCCCTCGTCTTTTCAGATAAACAAATGCGCTAATCCCAAAGCGAAAGTGCTGAAGTTGGACCTTCGCAGTGCTTCGGAGGTGGTGACTAAGTATAGATGTGACATTTCTGTCGACGAAGTGGACTTTGCTTTGCTGGGAAATGATAACATCGAGCAGTTCATCAGATTTAAATACCCTATACTGAGGTTGAGGTGAATATAATGAAAATTATGCGTATCTTTATTCACGCCGGACTAGTAAAACCAGTCCGTAATTTTATTATCATCATCAACACCTTTAAATGTCGTCACTGCAGAGGGACAGGTCTTCCCTACGGCCAGATTATGAAGATTGGGCCGGGGTCCACCACGCGGGCCCGATGCGGATTGGTGGATGCTATAGCGACTGCAGATGCAGCCGGGACCAATAGCTTTACGCGCATTTGGACCGGACATTGCGAAAGTTGCTTTACTTCCACGATGCAGCTAGGCATGATTCTAGGCAGGCTTGTACCATATTAGGCCTCATCATCGCTTTCCATCAGGCGAGATTGTGATCAAACACCTTGTCTATTAAGCATTAAAAAAACGCGCTATTGAGCTCATCGTTCATTTTATTAAGCGACTTAAAAATTGAGCAGGTTATCAATTCTACCTTATTTAAGTATGCGAAATGTATTGATTTTGAGTTAACTATTTTTGTAGACCTGTTTTGCTATATTGATTTTTGACTCCTCTCTCACACCTGAGTCTTTCGCCACGAAGCTTTGTTTATAAGCACGAATAACGCAGGTGTGGGAAGTCATTAGCGCCTATCGTAACTAACTATCGGTCTACGTGACGATAGCGCTAGATGATATTGATGTTTTTTCGACCCGCATCAAAGGAAAATTGTTGAATACATTTTTTTCCGTCGTGAAGTCAAAGATCAATAAGTCCATACAGACTTGTTTTAAGTACTATGAAATTTTACTTCTATTTTTTTAATAATAATTTTTAGTCCCTAAATATGGAAAGCTTTTACTACATATCCTTAATAACGAATAAGGGAAATAAAATAGGAAACATTGGAATAATAGCCCATGTTTTCCGAACGATTTTCCGAAAGATTCCGAACACAACTAGCATTTTCTCATTGTTGTGCGTTATAGGGCATTCAATGAATGGGGAACGAGCAATGTCCTTTAGCGCAATAGATATATGAAGCTTCGTCGGGAGGCTTTGGGTAGAAATGGGTTGTAAAAGTGTACTTTTGATATTTGCAAAAAATGTACACCTTGTTCTAGCATTGACTAGGTAATGGATCATTTGTGATTGTATTTATTCATTAGTTTCCAAGTAAAATGACGGTAGGACGTTACCTTGACACGCGATTTGTATGAAGGATGGGTATAATATTGTTTTTGTCTATTATAATTTTATTTGAATAGAGAGTAAATATTTGTACAAATTGATTGATTAATAGTCCGACTTCGAGCTGATGGTTGACCTTCATTCAAGACAAGACTCATTAACGAAATTTTATTTGACAAGCGGTGTATCCGTTAGCTTACTCTTTCACCTTATTTAAAAAAAATACTTTAAAATGTAAGTTCTAACTAATCGTTACGGGTCAAGTATTTTAATTACCTGGTAAGGTTACAGTAATTTAATCCAATGTCAGTTCAAATAATAACTTCGTGTTACAAAGAACTTTTTTAGCGGGAGAGGCTTAGACGAAGAGTCGTAAGCTAGGGTACGGACAGACGGAAACGCAGGAACTGCTAGTTGAGCAAGCACCGCGACTCGGGAGCTTGTGCCGATTCGAGACGATTGCGTTACGACTCCGATTAGTGTGCGTTGCAGTATGAAGTTTTGTACAAAGAATACTGATCGGCTCGAGTTGATACGGTGACGATCCCTTTCTAAGTTTATAACCTTTAATTTTATCCAAATGGAATAATCCATGTAAGCGAAGATATTTATGAGAACTTTGGACGCGTATATACCAATGAACAGTTATGACGCGTACATCACACTAATATTATAAAGGCGAAAGTTTGTGTGTATGTTTGTTACTTCTTTAAGTCTAAGCAGCTGGAGCGTTTTTTATACAATTTGGTATGGAGTTAGCTGACACCCTGGATTAACACATAGGCTACGTTTTACTGCGAGAATATATCCCTAAAATACCGGGGGTAACACCGCGGGTCACAGCTAGTACTAGCACACTAGCAGCTAAATATCATTTTAATGGTGTCTAAATCCCAAAAAATCTTTGAAAGGTGCAAGTATGATAAAAATAAACCACCGTTCAAATTCAAAGGAATAAATGTATTCGAAAAGAAACCTTATTTTCTAAGGCTTATATAATCGAGTAAGAATCTTAACATCGCCATTCAGACATCACACTATGCAAAATGATGGCGCCATCTAGTGACCGTTGACAACAACACTTTCACCTACTAACATGCATTTGGGGTTTATTGGCGTAAACATACCGCCCCCCATGGACCGAGTGTCCATCAAAAATATTTACTATGCCACAAATCATATTACGCAAAGAACTAAAATATTAAAACTATGCCACAAATCATATGCAAACTTAAACACAACTAAAATAAAACTTACGCGCGTACAATATTCGGCTATTTTCAATCTACAAGCTTTCTACACTACACTACTTATTCTATTATATTTTATTAAAAGCATAAGCATTAGATAAGCCAGCATATTACATTCATACCTACCTTATTATAATAAATTTCACTCTAGTATAGGCAATACTCTTACTTTCGACATAGGCCTTTTAATTATACTAGATCCCTTGCATTTAATACTAACCACTCTAGTGAGCTTATCGGATCCACAATGCTTTTCAACTATCACTCCATACAACCATCGGGCTGGGGGTAAGTCATCCTCCATAATCAACACTATGTCTCCCACCTTTGGTTCCGATAAAACATTACGCCATTTGTAACGATGAAAAAATTGGGTCAAATACTCCCTCGACCATCGTCGCCAAAACTCTTGGACCATTTTTTGAGTTAACTTCCACCTACGTAAACTACTGATATTGGAGTTTTCATAATTATGGTCAGGTACCAATACTAAGGGTTCTCCAACCAAAAAGTGACCGGGAGTCAATGGATATGGATCTAATGGATCAATATCAGACATTTGTGCTATTGGTCTCGAATTGAGACACGCCTCAATTTGTGCCAAAACAGTCATAATTTCTTCAAAAGTTAGTTTAGATTCCCCTATGACTCGTTTGATATGGAACTTTGTTGATTTGATCCCTGCCTCCCATAGTCCTCCAAAATTGGGTGAACGAGGTGGAATAAAGTTCCAATTAGTGCCATTATTTGAAAGCCAGTTAGCAATTTCGACTGCTACACCGGATCTTTCGCTTTGAAAAAGAATCTTGAGTTCGCGTGCGGCTCCAACGAAATTGGTACCGTTATCGCTCCACAATTCAGCACAATGACCACGGCGAGCACTGAAACGTTTGAAAGCAGCGATAAAACTTTCCGACGACATATCACTGACCATTTCTAAATGAACGGCTCTGGTAGCCATGCATATGAAAAGGCAAATGTACCCCTTTGAAGCATGAATACCCCTGCCCTTTGCGGATCTAACAGCAATTGGACCTGCGTAATCGACTCCACTGCGAAAGAATGGTCTGGCTGGAGTGGCCCTTGCTTCTGGAAGTTGACCCATTAACTGGTGATTTGGACGTGCAGAATAACGAATACAACGTACACATTGACGTATATGACCCTTAACTTGTCGCTTCATGTCGATTATCCAGTACCGCGATCTCAAATGATTCATTGTCAGCTGAACCCCTCCATGCATAGTTCTTTCATGTGCGTCAGCTATTATCAAATCCGCTATATGAGATTTGCGAGGTATTAATATGGGATGTTTGAAATCTTCGCATAATGTTCGAACCCTGTCCAGCCTCCCACCGATCCTTAATATACCTACTTGATCAAGAAATAAATTCAAGCTGGAAGTGCTACAATTCTTAGGTACAGGCTTATTTTTAGTGATACTCTGTATCTCTTCCTGAAAAAACTGACCCTGATAATACCTTATACATATATTAAGTGTTTCGCGTAATTCAGTCGTGGTTAGCCATCGTGGGGAAAACAGGTTTTGGATCAAAAGAATGGGTGAGTTTGAAAAATCTTCGACAAAATGCCATTGTTCTTACTAACCTACGTAATTTAGAAAATCTAGCCCATATATCATTCTGAATTTCAGATGTTACACAACAAACGGTCATTGATCTCTCTTCAAGGTTGGTATCTTGATTATCTAGTGGACTGTAATTTATAGAAGATTCTTTTAACCAACGTGGACCCTCCTTCCACAACCGTTCGTCAAAGTCATCCAAAGTAGTGATACCCCTTGACGCACAGTCAGCGGGGTTTTCCTCAGATCTAACATGAGACCATTGACTTCTATCGAAGTTTGTTAGTATTTCTGAAACCCTATTCCCAATGAACGTCTTCCATCTACTAGGATGGCTACTCAACCACGCCAAAACAATGGAAGAATCAGTCCAGGCGTGAATATGGCATTTGGGTACAGAAAGGACCTTGGACACTTCCATCAATAACTTTGCTAAAAGGACAGCCCCACAAAGTTCCAAACGTGGAATTGTCACCTGTTTTATTGGTGCTACCTTTGTCTTTGAGGTTATGAGATTTACATGGATACTGCCTTCGTGATCAATCACCCTTAAAAATACTACAGCCGCATATGCTACAACGGATGCATCACAGAATCCATGTAATTCTATGCATGACGCATCGTGTCGCGCTTGAATCCAGCGTGGAATGCGAAAAAAAGAAATTAACGAGAGATTACTTCGGTACTCTAGCCACTCTTTCAACAAATTTGGTGGTAATTCTTGGTCCCAATCGATTCCTGATATCCATAGTTTCTGTATAAGAACCTTGGATGTTATGATCATTGGAGCGATCCAACCTAAAGGATCGAACAAGCGTGATATATCCGAAACCACCTTTCTTTTGGTTACCGGAAAACTTATATCAGGCAACTTGACTGAATATTCAAAAAAATCTGTACCGTTATTCCAAATCAAACCAAGAACCTTTTGTGTCTTATTATCATTACTAGTTTTTATTTCTAATTTTCTTTCACTTCCTCCACTATTCTTTCCTATCTTTTTCAACAATTCTTCGCTGTTACTC